ATGACAAAGGGAAGGATAGGAGAAAGGTCCTGGAGGCCAAATTTAGGCTCATGGTATATCTCATCTGCCTCTCTCCAGTGTCACTATTCTGTAATATCAAATGTATTTATAGCTAAATATCAATTAAAGTCAAAATTAACAGCATCTCTTTTAACTTGTCAAGATCGTTGTGACCCCGGGAGCCTCTCAATGCCAATTGGCAGAGGGCACAACATAACATAACTCATACAAGGCCTGACACACTCATTGCCCCACCTCACTATAGTCATAATCTGTATCTAAAAGATGTCTTGTAAGGTATCATATATAAACTGGTAACATGCTGGTCATTAATATTATTGTGGGGTGTATGAAGAATTATAAATATGTGCCAGAAATACATTCTCAAAATGTGTTTGGCAGGCAGGGTTTAAGTCATCCCGTTCTGGACAAAGGAATGTATCTTGCTTGGATGTTTCTCCAATGTAAACTGAACATGAAAGACAATGAAATTACATTTACAAGCAAGACAGAAAAAGCCATTAGGCAAACCAGTGTGGGGGATGGCCACTTAATTCTCTCAGCGCGGGATGGACGCTGCAGCTCCAGGAAACCTTCCTGCCTCCTGAAGCAATACCATTGAACTTTGGAAGATATAAGCAAGGACAAAGAGCCATCTTGTGTATCCATTACTGAGCAGATGCAAAATGTCAGAGCTCTTGTACATCTCAGAAAAGTGGAACCTTTAACAAAGAGGGTTGAAAGTCTCTGAAAACTGAACATAGGTGAGAAACTTGCTCAGACCAAGACTGTAGCTTGCTGAAGTTAAATTTAGTCACTAGAAGCCTATTTTGGTTGTAACTTTTCATATCTTTCCCTCTTACTAGAAGTCACTTAAATCCTGTGGTCTTTGCTAACCAACTTATTTTTAGTTTTACTACAAGCCAGCTCAGTGCTGTACATTTCAACCGAGTGTGGGCTTTCAACTAAACTAGCAGGCTGGTGTTTGTTCTGTCGCTTTGGAGGCAGTGAACTGAGTATCTTCTGTGAGGGTCCAGTGAGAAGGACTGGATACTGCAGGGGAGCCAGTTTGGGAGAATCTTGGAGCTGGAAGGGCTGGTGATGTCACCCTGCAAGGAGTAACCGGGCTGGTGGAAGTCAGGGTGAGGCTGCTGTGCTGTGAGCATGATACTAGGATCAGGGCTCTGAGCCAAGGCTACACCAAGGGTGCAAAGCAGGTGAGGACAGAACTCCTTACTGGGCCGGGCCGAAACCCAAAGCATCACAATCAGATCTTACCCAGGTGTAACCATTATGCATTTTTTTTGGAAATAAAGACTTGGTATCTTTCCTGAAAGTGGGAATTAACTGTTCCAACTCCATACCCCCTTTACCCTTCCAGGTAATATGATATTTTTGTAATCCTATATTTCAACCATGCATTTCTAGTCAATATGTGTGCCCATTTGATAATCTTTCATAATACACATTTCCACAGCTCAAATCTGTCATTAAATCTGATTGTCAACTAAAGCCTTACAAATACGTTTCATCTAATTACAACCACTGACAAGGCCCCACATACTCAATTCAGTACAAAATCAAGCAACCACAAGACTCTGAAATAGTGGGCAAGGAAGGCAGGGACTCCAGAGCCACACAGGCAGTCATCTCAAAGTAACCACTCTTTGTGCACTGGTCAAGACCAGGTCTCCACCCACCGTTCTTTTTCTAGGTTAAGAAGTAGTGGGAATAAAAGCCCTTCCCTACGTGTTATGATGGTACTGGTTCCATGGCGACCAAATGTAGGAGGTGGTTTACTTCTTGCCGTAGAAGGTGTTTGTGAGAGGGGTCACTGAAGAGAGACAGGGAGGGAGAGTGGGTAGGGGGGATGGAGGTGAATGGTATTGAATAATCTGTGCTGAGTATTTCTAGAACCCATTTGTCTGTGGTGACGGTCTTCCATGCTGAGTAGAAAGGGGTCAAATGGTGTCCAAAATGGGGGTCAGTAATGGTGTCAGCACTGAGGAATGGGGGAGATGTCTCAGGCCCTCGACCAAACCTTCAAAATTATTGTTTTGCAGAGGGTTGCTGATGATTGAGCAGGGAGTGGTCGACGCCTTGGAAATCTCTGTCTGCGTTTTTGTGTATTAGATTGTCTCTGTTCTTGGGCGTAGGGGGCAGCTCTTGCAAGCTGGGTTGAATAGTATTTCCCTGTTTTTTTCCTCTGTGCAGATGTGTATATCCTGAGGGAACGAAGAGTTGCCCTAGAGGCCTTCAAGGTGTGAAGGGACTCGTCGGTCGTCGTGGCAAACAACTTCAGACCATTAAAAGGGGGATCCTCCACAGCCGACTGTACTTCCCTTGAGACGCCAGAGAAGTGAAGCAATGAAGCCTGAGGCATGACTACGGCGGTAGCTGTGGAACGTGCCGCCATATCTGCCACATCTAGAGATGCCTGTAAAGCAGTTCTGACTAGGAGACGGCTCTCTGTGATCACCACTTTGAATTGTTCTCTCTTGTCCTCTGGTATGTATTCAATAAAGTCTGACATTTTGGAGTACGGTAATTCCTCGCTTAAGGTTGTAGTTATGTTCCTGAAAAATGCTACTTTAAGCAAAACGATGTTAAGTTAATCCAATTTCCCCATAAGAATTAAAGTAAATAGAGGGGTTAGATTCCAGGGGGAAAATTTTCACCAGACAAAAGACATTGTATACATATACAGTACAAGTTTTAAATAATTTTAAACAAACAGTTTAATACTGTACTTATCAATGATGATTGTGAAGCTTGACTGAGGCAGGGGCATAGCGGGGTCGGGGTGCGGGGGCTTGCTCCACTCTGCCCGCCTGGCACTCCTGCCGGGGAGCGGGATCGGGGGCTTGCCTGTTCCCCGGCTGGAATGCCAGGAGGGAAAACTGGGGTAAGACCCTGCGCCTTGACCCCACTCCCTGGGTGGAACTGGGCAAGTCCCCATGCCCTGACCCCGCTCCCTGACCCCACTCCCCAGTAGGAACGTTGGGCTGGCGGAGCGGGGCAAGCCCCCATGCCCCGACTGGAATGCCAGGCAGGCGGGTGGACCAGGGCAAGCCAAACAACCTTATAACGGAACATTGCACGACTTTAAACGAGTATGTTCTCTAATAGATCAGCAACATAATAATGAAACAATGTTAACCGGGACGAATTTAAGTGAGGAGTTACTGTAATTTGTATGGTCATATTTTTCCATCAGTGCAGCATAGTTAGCAATTTGAAATTGGAAAGTGGCCGATGAACAGGCCTTGCGGCCAAAGCAGTCTAACCTTTTCCACTCTTTGTCATAGGGAGTGGATCTGCAGTGGTGTTGTCTGCCCAGTTCACTGATGGCGTCAACCACTAAGGAGTTTGGGTTGGGGTGAGAGAATAAAAAGTCCATTTTCTTTGAGTGGATGTAATATTTTTTATCCCCTCTCTTTTAAGTGGGCGGGATAGTTGCTTGGGTCTGCCATATATTTTTAGCTGGTTCCATAAGTCCTTCATTTACAGGAAGTGCAATCTTTGATGAGGTTTGCAGAATGTCTAGTAATTTATGTTGGGACTCTAGAACCTCCTCTCGGAGAATCTCTAGGGAATCGGCAATTCCTCTGAACAGCTCTTGAAAGTATTTGAAGTCATTGGCTGTTGTGGGTGATGGAGGCATCATGGCCTCGTCTAAGGAAGAAGAGAAAATGTTGGTTGTTGGGATAGTTTCTTGTTCCAGGGTTTCTTCGTGTTATTCAAAAATTTCACTGAGAGTGGTGGGGGAGATCTAGTCCTCTCTCTGTAGAGTTCGTGGGTCTAGGGTATTGTCTCCTGTATGTCCCCCAGGAGTCCCAGCAGGGCCACTATGTAGGGAATGGCATAGGTGCTGGCGTCCATGGGTGCCCATACCGTATCTAGGTGTCAGCCCAGTGGTGATATTTGGGCTGTACAGGTGGACCTAATACCATACTCGTTTGAATGTGAGAGGGATGGCGTGATGAGTAAGCACCCTTTTCCTCATCACCTTCACCGGAAAATGGAGGGGCCAGAGGGGAGGTGAGTTGGTGTGGGTACCATGTGCACCGAAGTAACGTGTGCTGAGGAGTGGTGAGTCCGACGTTGACAAGATTAGTAAGTCCTTGTGGTGAAGAAATTGGTGTGGTACAGATGGTTTCGGTACCAAGGCAGTCAATAATCCCTGTGCTGTTGTAGTCGTAGACATCTGTGCTGACATCGGAGCACCCTGCGCTATGGGAGCTGAGGGTGGCACCATAGCCTATGGAGAGCATATCGGTGCCACATGTTTAGGCAGCCCCGTCGGTACTGCGGTGGAGGAGGTAGGCTTCTCTTTGCCTCTTGACTCTGAGCCTGCCTGCTTGTGGTCACTGGCGTTCTTGGTCCGTGCGGTACCCGAGGACCCCGGTGCTTTGTATGTACTCAGCCATGGTGCGGTTGGTACCGAGAACCTAGAACAAGCCAGAGACTATTTCTTTTTCGGTGGCTCTTTAAGAGGAAAAGTTGGTGCCCGTTTTCTTGCCATATTTTTAGAGGAGTGAGCTTTCCTCTGTGACACGGGTGAAGTCTGTTTGTTAGAAGTGGTTGTTGGACACCCGTGTCCAGAGGGAATCTGCTGACCGGGGTCGGATGCCAGGCGGAGTGACTTCTCCATTAGAATAAATTTAAGTTTTAAATCTATTGTTTTCCTGGGGCGAGCTTTTAAGCTGTAGCAGTGAGAGCATTCTTGTGGAATTTCATTTACAACCTTATTTTCTCAGTAACCGAACACCTGAAGTCCTGGTCTAAACTTTCAGAGCTGCTTCTTGCAATTCTAAATGATTATTTTTTATGCTCTGACAACCAATTGCAGTAGTACCAGGAGTGTGACACATAGTACAGGAATTTATTGACCCTACTCCCATGACCAATGTCAAGGTCACAAAAGTTAATATCCATATCACATAGCAGGAATGACCATTTACTGACTCAACTGGTTACTGTGAAAGCAATAAGTATACCTTTATCTTCAGTGAGGCTGGATAGTACCGCAGGACATGGCACACTGCAAGCATGACATTGTTAGCTGCACATACAGACACAATTTCTTTGCAGTCCTCAGGTGTTACCTTATAAACCAGAGAAAACAACCCAGTCAGTTATTTCTATTCTGACTGCATTATGTACCACAGTTACTGCATGAATCTGTTGTCACAACACCAGCGATTTGAAACATATGTTTTATTAAATATCTTTGTAGGCACTTATGTGCTAATTGTAATTTCATCTTCAACTGTATGAAAATGGCACTCACCAATAATACTCTAGTTATGTATATGTTTGCATTATTATTAGAAACTACATTTAACTAGACCAAAGCACGCTCCTGCAGGGTGAAACTTATCCAAGATTTCAGCACAGCAGCAAATAGTTTTTATTGATGTAAAATGTGTGTCATTACTTTTTTAAATAAAGACGTTAAAGGAAGGGTGGTTTTATGGTTGAGACACTAGCCTTGGGTCTCCAGGATACAGGCAGTCCTCGACTTTACAACTTTCAACTTATGACGAACGGCACTTAGGACGTATCTAACCAGGTGGAAGAGGTGGATGAGGCTTTTTTCAAGCAACTTTAAGAATCATGTAAAGCTGAATTGGGCATGTCCCTATTTCTCCAATAGCTCATCTGTGCGTGGC